GCATGAACCAAAAAAAAAAATATTTGAGAAGACAAAGAGATGTGATTTGAGATATTTGAATTGCTAAATTCTATTAATTAATAGTTATTAGGCTTTAATGGTCGGGCTTCTAATATTTATTATCCATTAAAGTTGAGTTCTTTGATTTTATCTATATTCACTTTATAATTTGAGAGTGGAAACGTGTTAAATTTTTTATTTACTTGGCACATTTTGTGAGCATTATTAATGAAATGCATAGTGTAATTTTTTTTTCTATTTTTTTTTTTGCAATTGCAACCTATTATTTTTTAATTAGAATTTATATTTGTTTTAGATATTTTTTTAATATACAAATTATTTTTTTAGTTTTTTTATAAAAATAATTTAACAATCTCATCACTAAACATAGTGTACGGGAGAAGTTGAAAATGGTGCGGCAGTAGGTATATGAGAAGTCAAAAATGCTTGAGAAATTTAGCCAAAACCTCTTCATTGGACCCTTGTTTAGTGAAAATAACAGCCCAATTTATTTTGTTTCATAAACTCCTAAGGAGAAAAACACATAATTGAGCAAGGATAAAGTAAAATATCTTCTTTTTTTTTCTTGGACAATATTGCCAGAGTAACATATTACTGTCAAACAGAGTAATTATCAAACAGAGTAACTATCAAACAGAATAACATGTTACTGTTACTATTAACATCAATTTCAACGGTAATAATTTTTTTTTATAAAGAATTTCATAGTCAACATCGATATTAGTTGATAGATCTTGATGAGAGAATTCTAAAAATACTAATTTTATTACAAATTGATATCTACATAAAAAGTTATATTATATTAAAGTTTAATATTTTGATAATAATCATATATGTTAGAGTTTTTAAGAAATTTTGTTTATGCTGGTTTTTAATGCATTAAAGTTTAATTACATTAATTTCAACGGTAATAAAAAAAAAATTTATAAAGAATTTCATAATCAATATGGATCTTAGTTGATAAATCTCGATGAGAGAATTCTAAAGATACTAATTTTATTACAAACTGACAATTACATAAAAAGTTATATTATATTAAAGTTTAATATTTTGATAATAATCATATATGTTGTAATTTTCAAGAAATTTTGTTTATACTTATCTTTAATAAAAACAAAAATGAAAACTAATAAAAGCAAACACATATGTAATAAATTTCATAACACAAAATATCTTCTTGCATTAGGTTCATCTAATAGTTTTAACAAACACATTTGTAATAAATTTCATAACACAAAATACAAACAATTGTGAGACAAAATATAAAAATAAAAAATAAAAGCAACGTCCATTGATGATGTAAAAACACACTTGACGTTTTAATTTGAGGTATAACAAGATAAATTGTCATAGGAAAGTTTATTTTTCATCACAACAATTACATGTCTCAATATATAATTTTAATGTCGTTCACTCTTCCACACGTCCAATTTTGTATCTATCAATATTAAAATGAATGCATGAACTCAAAAAAAAAAAAAAACATTTGAGAAGACAAAGAGATGTGATTTGAGATATTTCAATTGATAAATTCTATTAATTAATAGTTATTAGGCTTTAATGGTCGGGCTTCTAATATTTGTTATCCATTAAAGTTGAGTTCTTTGATTTTATCTATATTCACTTGATGATTTGAGAGTGGAAACGTGCTAAGTTTTTTATTTACTTGGCACATTTTTTTAGCATTATTAATGAAATGCATAGTGCAATTTTTTTTTTCTATTTTTTTTCGCAATTGCAACCTGTTATTTTTTAATTAGAATTTATATTTGTTTTAGATATTTTTTTAATATACAAATTATTTTTTTAGTTTTTTTATAAAAATAATTTAACAATCTCATCACTAAACATAGTGTATGAGAGAAGTTGAAAATGGTGCGGCAGTAGGTATAGGAGAAGTCAAAAATGCTTGAGAAATTTAGCCAAAACCTCTTCATTGGACCCTTGTTTAGTGAAAATAACAGCCCAAATTATTTTGTTTCATAAACTCCTAAGGAGAAAAACAAATAATTGAGTAAGGATAAAGTAAAATATCTTCTTTTTTTTTCTTAGACAATATTGCCAGAGTAACATATTATTGTCAAACAGAGTAACATGTTGCTGTTACTGTTTACATTAATTTCAACGGTAATAATTTTTTTTTTTATAAAGAATTTCATAGTCAACATCGATATTAGTTGATAGATCTTGATGAGAGAATTCTAAAAATACTAATTTTATTACAAATTGATATCTACATAAAAAGTTATATTATATTAAAGTTTAATATTTTGATAATAATCATATGTGTTAGAATTTTCAAGAAATTTTGTTTATGCTGATTTTTAATGCATTAAAGTTTAATTACATTAATTTCAACGGTAACAAATTTTTTTTTTTTTATAAAGAATTCCATAATCAATATGGATCTTAGTTGATAAATCTTGATGAGAGAATTCTAAAGATACTAATTTTATTACAAACTGACGATTACATAAAAAGTTATATTATATTAAAGTTTAATATTTTGATAATAATCATATGTGTTAGAATTTTCAAGAAATTTTGTTTATGCTGATTTTTAATGCATTAAAGTTTAATTACATTAATTTCAACGGTAACAAATTTTTTTTTTTTTATAAAGAATTCCATAATTAATATGGATCTTAATTGATAAATCTTGATGAGAGAATTCTAAATATACTAATTTTATTACAAATTGACAATTCCATAAAAAGTTATGTTATATTAAAGTTTAATATTTTGATAATAATAATATATTTTGTAATTTTCAAGGAATTTTGTTTATGCTTATCTTTAATAAAAACAAAAATGAAAGCTAATAAAAGCAAACACATATGTAATAAATTTCATAACACAAAATATCTTTTTGCATTAGGTTTATCTAATTGTTTTAACAAACACATATGTAATAAATTTCATAACACAAAATACAAACAATTGTGAGACAAAATATCAAAAAAAAAAATAAAAGCAACGTCCATTGATGATGTAAAAGCACACTTGACGTTTTAATTTAAGGTATAACAAGATAAATTGCCATAGAAAAGTTTATTTTTCATCACAACAATTACATGTCTCAATATATAACTTTAATGTCGTTCACTCTTCCACACGTCCAATTTTCTATCTATCAATATTAAAATGAATGCATGAATCCAAAAAAAAAAAAAAAACATTTGAGAAGACAAAGAGATGTGATTTGAGATATTTCAATTGATAAATTCTATTAATTAATAGTTATTTGGCTTTAATGGTCGGGCTTCTAATATTTGCTATCCATTAAAGTTGAGTTCTTTGATTTTATCTATATTCACTTTATAATTTGAGAGTGGAAACATGTTAAGTTTTTTATTTACTTGGCACATTTTTTTAGCATTATTAATGAAATGCATAGTGCAATTTTTTTTTTCTATTTTTTTTGCAATTGCAACCTGTTATTTTTTAATTAGAATTTATATTTGTTTTAGATATTTTTTTAATATAAAAATTATTTTTTTAGTTTTTTTATAAAAATAATTTAACAATCTCATCACTAAACATAGTGTATGGGAGAAGTTGAAAATGGTACGGCAGTAGGTATAGGAGAAGTCAAAAATGCTTGAGAAATTTAGCCAAAACCTCTTCATTGGACCCTTGTTTAGTGAAAATAACAGTCCAATTTATTTTGTTTCATAAACTCCTAAGGAGAAAAACACATAATTGAGTAAGGATAAAGTAAAATATCTTCTTTTTTTTCTTAGACAATATTGCCAAAGTAACATATTACTGTCAAACAGAGTAACTATCAAACAGAGTAACATGTTGTTGTTACTGTTTACATCAATTTCAACGGTAATAATTTTTTTTTTTATAAAGAATTTCATAGTCAACATCGATATTAGTTGATAGATCTTGATAACAGAATTCTAAAAATACTAATTTTATTACAAATTGATATCTACATAAAAAGTTATATTATGTTAAAGTTTAATATTTTGATAATAATCATATGTGTTAGAATTTTCAAGAAATTTTGTTTATGCTGGTTTTTAATGCATTAAAGTTTAATTACATCAATTTCAACGGTAACAAATTTTTTTTTTTTTTTATAAAGAATTTCATAGTCAACATAGATCTTAGTTAATAAATCTTGATGAGAGAATTCTAAAGATACTAATTTTATTACAAATTGACAATTCCATAAAAAGTTATGTTATATTAAAGTTTAATATTTTGATAATAATCATATATGTTATAATTTTCAAGGAATTTTGTTTATGCTAATCTTTAACGCATTAAAGTTTAATTATGAAGGGTATTGATCAAATCTCCAAAAAAATATGGGGTTGGGAGTAATTAATAAATGCTAAAAAAAAAAATTAAATCAAAAAATTAAAAAATTAGAATTTGAATATTGTAGTTCCCACCAAACTTCTTGATTAAAAATTTCATTTTCTTTATATAATATATAGATGGATAGATATAGATTTGAGAAAAAAATATTGTCTTTGGCGGCATTGAACATGCTTGTCTAAGCATGGAGACCAACTAGTTGACCTGATTAAGAAGACACTCTTTTACTAAACATAATGTTTGAGTTAAAATTTGAATCTCACCTCTATCCAATGCAGTTTTTCCTTATCCTGTTCAATTGTCAAGTGTAGATTTTTTTAAGTTTCATGGAACTCGAGAGCTTTTCTACTTTGTATATATGAGTCTAGCACTATGTTGCTAGAGTAAAGTTGTTCGAGTCTCACCAAGGTGGGATTAATGGATTATGGATACCTCATCAAAAAGAAAAAAAAAAAAACAAAAAAAGGTTATTAATAGTGTCGACCATTCTTAATCCAAACACATCCTGAATAGGCAAATGCTCCTTGATAGGTAAACCATACACTGTTTTCAAAACTTCCATTCCTAATTACTTGAGTAACTTTCTTGGTTCTTGTTCAATTTTATAATTATGAATTCTTTACATGGTTTTGGTCTTCTATGCACTTTCATCAACTTCAATAACTACTAATTAATAAAATGTTAGTACCTAAGAAGAATCCAACCAACGTAGACAAATTGGTCAAATCAACACTATAGTCAAAACAAAATACTGAAAAAGTAGGTGAAAACATTTATATTGAATTCAAAATCAATTACTTTCACTCTATCATGAAACCAAAATCAATGGAATTGTACAATTTCTCTACTTCACATGAGAAAGTTTCTCTCTCCCACCATGTTATATTGATCAACTTCCATGAAAACCACCCCATCAACTGCCTTATCACTCTCCACAACCACCACATTGCTTGAAACGTTTGTCACTCCATGTCCTGGAAACCCTACAAACCCTGGAGAGAAATAAAATGAGTATTGGACATGATTTATCCGGTTCGGAAACACCAACACCGATGAAAAATCTGCCACCCACCTTGTCCCGTTCCCCGCCACCGCCAATTTTGCCACTGTCGATTTCAAACTCATCCCATTCACATTGTTGTGATCAATGACCACTTGATCAATGGATGTGAATTGTCCCTCTAACTTCACAATTGGTACCATGTTTTGTGGTGCCCCACAAAACATGTTATTGACTATGGTCAGCCCTGAGATTTGTCCTTTAATTGATTTCAACACAATGTTACCATCTCCAAGGAAAAACCCATTACTAACATGGACTTGAGATGGGTCTTCAATCACTATAGCATTGAAATCTAGGTAACAATTGTCTATTCTAGTTTGTGCAGCTTGAACTAGAATTCCAACACCTCCAAAATATGTTGCCTTGTTGTAACAATGTACCCCGGTGACCATGTTAGCTTGACCCTTTAAAATAATTCCTGTGGCAGCTGAGAAGATAACGACATCTGTGATTGCGTTGTCATTGCTAGCAAGAACAATGCCAGTGCCCGAAAAATCTCTCTCCTCTTTGTCACCTCCGATTGTTGAGTGTTGCCCGAGGAAGCAGCTTGATATGAAGGTCTCGTGGCCTCTTTCGACTAGAATTCCTTCAGTGGTGAAATGGAGGAAGAAGCAATTGTTTATGCGGATCCTGGCTGAATCGATCACCAGAAGTCCTCCTCCTCGGAAGCTTGAATCAAAGAGGATGTCGCGGAAGGTGATGTCCTCATAGTAGATTCCATAGTTTTGATTTTCTTGGCCAGATAGAGGATCAGAAGAAGTTGTATTGTTAAGTGGCTGAGAATTTGGTGCCCATAGTTCAATTAGATGTCTATCTCCAGGAAATGTGTTTGACGCTCTCAAAGTGCCTCCTTGTATCTAAAAGGCAAAGCCAACTACATTGCTTAGCATGACGTTAAATGACAATATCAGAATACGTATCAATATTAGTGATACAATTTTTAAATTGATAGATATCAGACAGTATCAATATATTGATGAAAGTTGCTTAGTTGAGAGAGAGAGAGAGAGAGAGAGAGAGAGAGGTTGAAGCAACTTCATGAAAGAACTGAAGAATATAAAGATTTGAATTTCTAGTAAATATCATTTAGAGAGACAAATAGTTAGTATCTAAAAGGCCAAATACAAAAATTTGGAATTTTAGATTTTAATTTTTGAACAAATTTCTATCCTAAACTATGAAAAATGATTGATCCACCAAATTTGGGCTCGCCCGAATTATCCAAATTACATAAGCCTAACAACTTACCGGACGACCGGCATCACTCTTATCAACCATGGTTATCACCCTTGTCACTCGTAATTGTCCCCGTTGTCAATCAGTGTATCAGTTGGCATTCGCCCGGATAACCGATCGGACGACCGGCATGCACAAATTCAAGTAATTCGAATGAGCCTAAATTTTATGGACGTAACCTTACTGCTAAACTATTAGTTACTTTTCACATGAAATAGTTAAATAATAATCAATTTCCTCACTCAAATGAAGGCATCTAAGATCTGGGATTTGAATCACAATTATTCATCAAATTTTTTGCTAGAATCCAAAGGGAACTAAGAGCATTATCGGCAAAATATGCAGCTAAATGATGAAATAAAATTCAAGTTTCCTCCAAGAAATTTTTGAAAGTGGACCAGTAGTTGTTGCTTAAAATAGCACAAAAAGTTGGTGTGATAAGCCAACCATTTAACGGTATACATTAAATATGACAGTTCATAGTGCCTTTAGTTAGTTTGGAAGCAATTAGGTGAGAAGCAGCAGTAAATTAGATCAGTTGGTAGACTTGCATAAAATTTACTCATCCCAAAACAGTTATTGCGTCTTTAATATGCATGTTTCTATATTCTAGGCAAATACTAATAAAGAGTGTTGTTGGGGTATTGTTTAACATTGAAAAATGTGTATTAAAAATAAGTAAAATTATTAAAATTGAGAAAAAAAAAATTTGGGGTTAATAGATACTTGTAAGGTTTAAAATTATATATATATATATATATATATGTATATATGCAATAATAATGTAAAAGAAGACGAAGAAGGATATAAACGACTTTTTCTTGTTAACTTTAACGAAGTTAATATTGTAATTTCGCTCTCGTTTATAGGGAAAGTCTCTACTTATGTTTGAATAATAAAAGAGTAAACTGTTCAAGCCTTTAACCATTAGGGGTGGATATCCGCTCATTGGTCTGTCCAACCTACTCGGCTCAACCCTATTTTTCTATGGCTTAAAAAGGTTGTTTTAACCCATGAGGCCAGGCTGTACTGACATTTTCAACCCGAAATATCAATGGGTTAGGCTTGGGATTAATTAATTATTTATTTATAATACGTTAATATATATATATATTTTTTGTTAGGATCTAGATTTTATTTTTGTTGATTTATTGAAACTCACATTTATGGTTGATGTGTGATTGAATTTATTTAATAAATCCTTCAATTTGTACACAAAATCCTTCAATTTATAATGATGTCAATATATTTATTTAAGAAATATAATGCGTGATTGAATTTGCTTATGAAATGATTTAACTTTTTTTTTTAACATATAGCCCGATGGGTGAGTTCAGGATTTATAATTAGTTTTTGGACCGGATTTGGACAGATTATAAAGGCCCGATTTTTTTTTTTTTGTTACAGGGAAATCCTCCCACCCTTCCGCAGGTCCAAGACAGCGCCCCATGAGGAGATCACTAGGGTGTCCTGTTGTCCGTTCCGAGTAAGAGACTATAACTTGGAAGCTTGTCCCGACCTCCCAAGGCAAGCTCCAATTAAGTCAGGACTCGCACAGCGAGGGAGCATTAAACCCACACCAAGTAGCTGATTAGGCATTCTTGAGGTCCAACCTCCTAACCAACAGTGCTTCGCCCAGGAGATTGGCCCAATGTGAGAATTGAACTTGTGACCTTGGGGTTTAAACCCCAAGATCTTACCACAATGCCACAACCCCTTGTAAAATTAAATGAGACTGTTGACGGGAGGTAAATGAGGAATCAAGATATCCTCCTTGACTTTTTATTTATTGGGTAATTGGACTTACTTTTAAGTTTAATTTTGATGATCTGAATTGTTCACATTTTAAAATTTGTTAAGTATATTATATTTATAAAAAATTAAGTTGATCAGATATCAAAAAATATGTGTTCAAAAAACTGTTTATTAATTTTTTTTAAAATGATTTTTAATTCAATGATCCGAACACATACTTTCTGATATCTGATCAATTTGATTTTTTACAAGTATGATATAATCAACAAATCTTAAAATATAAACGGTTCGGATTATAGAAATTGAGCCTAAAAGTGGACCCAATAACCCTGCAAGTAAAAAGTCAAGGAAGAAAGTTAAGAAGGGAATCTTAACTCGTAATTGAGACACGAGACTTAAAGACTCATCGCTGAAAGTGATTATTAAATATTTTGAGTAATTATTTAGTAATTTTTGAATATAAAGAACACTAATTAGTATACCAGTTAGTATATCAACATTAGTTATGATAATATTATTGACACACTCATTGATTACATTATAAATTTTAAAAATTTACATCAATTAATATATTAATGGGCACATATAGTATTATTCATAAAGACGTTATATTTTATAATATTATGATTAATAGAAAATATGAATAAATAAGATTGTGTTAGACAATTAAAAAATATGAACAAATATGTTGAATGATAATTAATTAAAGAGCATATACCCGTGATATTCTGATAATTAATTAAATAATTTTCCGACCTGTCCGTGTGCCAGAAATTTTAATGCATTCCGATGCATCGAATGCCGACCAAATATTCTATCATGACACGTGTCACAAACCCATGTGCAAAGTGAAAAGGAAGGAGAAAAGAAAAGAAAAGAAAATTGGAAAAGTTTACGAACCAGAAAAGATTTGATGAAATTATCATAAATTTTAAATTTATGGTATATATTTATTTTATTTTTGATTGTAGAGTCAAATTTGATCATTAATTTTAAATTTTAAGACTTTGTTTGATTTAGTTTTTAAAAAAAAAAATTAAAAAAATTAAAAAAATTAAATCATAATTTAGTGAAAAAAATAAAAAATATTGCTCCATTTTATATAATTTTATCTTTTTGGAAGGAAGAATTATTTTTTAAAAATTCAAAATTATATTTTTAATATTTATTTTTATGAAATTAATTTTTATTTTATTTTTTAAAAATAGAAAAATTATTTATAGAAAGCAAACTAAACATACTTTTGTTTTGGGGCACCTACCAATCAATCTTATTAATTAGATTTATTTACCTACAGATCTTAATTGATAAATTTATCACTATAAAAAACAAGAGATTGATAAATTTATCACTATAAATTTATTCATAAAAATAAGAAACTGATAAATTTATTATAAGTGAATGGATAATAAGTCTCAAAAGTAAAACTTATTAATAAATTTTATTTTTTTTAAGTAAAATAATAAAATTATTTGCTGATGGGAGGCTCACAAGTGGATCCCACATGGGATCCATCCTTCTCAATCTTGTCTGTGTATCATTCTGTGAATGATCTTCTGTGTATTATCGTATCATTATTATATATTACCATCCAACAACAAATGAAAAACATTATACATAATTTCATTATATGTATTTATTAATAATCAGCTCATTATCTTATGTATACATGGCGATTATAGAAATTAATTATCTTGGCATAAGTGAGGTTCATTTTTACTCTGTGTAATTTTATTATTAGTTACAAAAAGTCTAATTTCACAGAAAATCTTCACATAATGTAATACAGATCTGTAAACCATACTTATATGGATCCCACTACTTGTCTAAGGTATAAAATTTTATCAAATCCTCGCAGTATCTGCAGCCAAAATTTGAAAAAATAAAATAAAAAGGCAAAAGCAAAAGCAAAAAGCAAAACGTTTTAGAAATAGAATGCTAACGTGCACCATGTGAGTCTATGATGAGAGAAAGAAAGAGAGTTACCAGGACATTGCCTACACCAGAAGGGAACCTAATGGGATTGCTTATACTGTAATTCCCACCTTGAAAATCAATGACAACACCTCCCAAATCTTTGATTCCAGGCAACAACTCAAGCCCACTTTGCACTTGCAAGAAAGCATCACCCAAAGCATTCATTATTGCATCACTGCTATCTTGCGCCCCACTTGGGTCTGCTCCATACCCAATTGGATAGAATACTCTCCCACTACTCTAAAAACACACAATACACATACACATTTTCACAAACAAAGCCAATTAATATTAATTTAACAGTAATGCTATGCTAAGAACGCAGAATACTGAAAACAAAAAAATGAAGAACAACAATGTGTGTCAACCTTTATGGAATTTGGGAGCAGCAGAGAGGGGGACGGCATCGCGGATATGCTAGAGGAGGATGTTTTCTTGTGTTGAAGCTTTGTTTGGAACTCGTAGAGCTTTTGGTGTAGGAGAGAAGATGCTGTTTGTTCTACTTGTACTACCCAAAACATGACAAGGAACAACAATGCTGAAAATGGCTTATTCATTGTTTTTGTTGTATTGAGAGAGAGAGAGAGAGAGAGAGAGAGTTTTGTACTGATGGAGTTTAGAGAGAGAGAGAGAGAGAGAGAGAGAGAGAGAGATAGTTTTTTGAGAGTTTAAAATGACTTTAAGTTCTGAGATTTTTTGGCTTTGGTATTATAGTAATTGCCCATTAAAATTATCGACCTAATGTCTATGAGACGTAAATGAAACCTCAAAGTTTACGAAGAAACATATTAAGCAGTCTCGTACTAAGATACTGGTAAATATTTATAACTTAAAATTCATAAATCATTTCTAACGACATGGTAAAATAGTTGATTTTTAATGGTTGAATTTATAATAAATTAAAAATTAATATGTAACTTGTTCGTGTAATTGTGGATTAATTACCGTAGACTTTTAAGGGTTTTAACTTTTTTTTGTTTGTGATATTGGTTATAAATTTATTCCAAAAAAATATAAATCATTTAAGAATAAATAAAAAAACAAAAGAGAAATGTAATTTATCATAGTATTTATTCTACCTCTTTACTTCTCCTTCTATGTGTAGTTATATAATAAATGTCATATGTATATGCAAAGCCAGCATATTTAAAATAAATAAATAAATAAAAAAGGTGGAATATGTCAAACAAGAACCCACATAGAAAGTAAAAATTTTGGTGAAAATATTTAGATAACAAATAGCAATCATCATAAAAATAAAAATGTGGGAGTAAGTTTTAGCCCTCGCGTCTAAAACAAAACAAAAACAAAAAAATTGTCATGATTTTTACACACAATTTCATCAGAATGATGTATTGGCGATAATTTTACAATAATAAATTACTTTTACGATTCTTTTGGTTTGAAATAAACGAATATAAATTAAAAATCACAAGTAGGAATTTTGAAACTATAAAAAATCTACAGATAAATAATCCAAAAATACAAACATTATAATTATCAAAAATCAAAAACCTAATATTCATCTAGATTAGTGAGAGAAAAAGAAGATAAAGCATGCATAAATTAATTGAATAATGGTGATGTAAATTTTCAAAATCGTAGCTTTTTTTTTTTTTTTTTTTGGGACAACTTTGTAGTTTGTAGTTATTTTTAAATTTTTTGCCTATCCGTTTAGGGCTTTGTTGTTTTGTCTTTTCTTGTTTTAGTGTGCTGTTTACTTTTATTTTAATATAATTGCATTACAATTTTTCTCAAAAATCAAAAAATCAAAAAATAACTTGACAAACTCATCTTGATTTTGACCATTGGAGTTGCTCCAAGAGAGATTTTCCCATTTGTTTTGATCAATGCATTTGCTTAAAATAATTTTAAATAGATTGTTGGGAGAATAATAAACGAGGCAAGTTGAGGTGAGCAGGAAATTATTTAAGTTCAACTAGAAAACTTAACAAGTTTTAATCTATCCAAGTTCAGGGCAGTTTTTTTATAAAGCTAATAACTGAGCTAAGTCGAGTAACAACTTGCTAACGACCTTTAAAATCTATTCGCTTTTTTTATTTTTATAACGAGTCAATCTTAAAAGAATTTTTAACAAGCCAAATACGAGTCAAATTCAAATAACTTAGTTCATTTATAACCCTACTCGAGTATAGAAAGTTGCCTGCTCCCTTGAATCTCCCCAAGATTTCAATTCAATGTTGCACAAAATAACATTTTCAAGCACACAAAATCGACATTAACAAGAAGAGATCAAATTTTACATCTGCAATATAGATTCTACAACAGAAAAGTCAACAATCTAAAACTAAATCAGCAATGAAAACTAGGTTAGCAAGAAACTCATGTTTCTCATGATTTTTCACCCGCATTAACATAAAGATAAGCCATGAATAATAGGGAAGAAAAAAACGCCATCAAACAATTCTAGTAGAAATAATAAACCCTAGAGCTCGCGATTGGCTGACCTGTTACTTTATAACGGGAGGCTGAGCAGCCAGCTGCTGCAGTTGATGAACAACGTGCGACATTCTAGGACGCATTGATGGGACATGTTGAGTGCAAGAATACACAAGGTCAACTACCTTTTGAATGACACTAGCTTCGGGAATCTGAGAAGACGAGGACGAGGATATGAGTGGGTCCAAGAGCTCTGGATAGCGGTGGGCCTGCACCAAGGGTGTGGCCCACTCAAATATACTTTGCCAACCCACTGAATCAACAGCCTGTGCCGGTCTACGCCCACTAACGATTTCAAGTAGCAATACTCCAAAGCTGTAGACATCACTCTTTGTGGTGAGCTCGTTTCTGTAAACGAACTCTGGAGCAAGGTATCCATATGTACCACCAGCCATCACCGTCCTCTCGTGCATCACTTCCCATGGAACAAACTTCGACAGACCTACTCCCATTAAGTGAGCACCAAACTCTTCATCAAGAAGTACGTTACTTGCACGAATATCACGATGAACGACCTGCGGTTTCACCTTGTCGTGCAGAAACCTGTTTCGATGTATGAAATGAATGACACACCAACAAAAGATTATTGGACAGAGGTCAATTAAACCGGTATGCAGAAGTTGAGATTGTGTAATTTGTCACCCATATGCATAAATCATTAAAAAGATCTATGAAGTTAAAAATTAAAAATAAATAAATAAATAAAAGCACTATGCCTGAAGGGCCTCTTAAGAGTCAAACAACAAACGCAATCATAACCTGTGATACATGGACTCTTCTATTTTTTCTGGTGTACCCATGTCCACTGGATATGATAAGGTGTGTGATATGTGTTTGACACTCAAATCCTCTAATATTTTATTACATTTGAAGAAGACACTTACATTTGCTAGTAAAGAAACATGTCTAGTTTCTCACACAAATAAGAGAAGTGTTGGAGACCTGTCCCAGTACCCATACCCAATTGATAAAAAAAAAAATGTGTTTGAGACATGTCTTAGTACCCAATTGCTTTGAAATTGAGAAAAAAATATATGTTTTGAAATTTATTAATTAATGAAATGTTCCCAAAGAAAACATAGCTTCAAAAGCATGCATGAATGTATACACACAACGCAAAAATAAAAAAGTAAATAATAAAACTGCAAAATATACGTACGCTATTCCTTGGGCAAGGGTAGTGGCAACTTTCATTCTCATGGCCCAATCCAAACTCCTGCCACCCCTAGGTATATGATGTAGCCATCTGTCCAATGGTCCATTTACTATAAACTCGTAAACAATGTAGCGGTCACCGTGATCATAGCAGCAACCTTTCACAGCCACTAAATTTGGATGATGAAGCCTAGCAACCCTTCCAATCTCAGAATAGAATTCCTTTTTCCTCTGAAAACTAGACCTCTTCAACCTTTTAACTGCCACCCTCGATCCATCAGGTAGAACCCCGCTATATGTGCCACCTGTTTTGGCATCTCCAAGAAGACGGTTCCCTTCACTGAAATTCTTTGTAATTGACCTCAGTTCCTCGCTGGTGAAAACTTTCCATGATGGTGGAACTAATGCCGATGCTGCAGGATTAGAGAGTTTGCGAGATTTTCTGCGTCTCTTGCTCCGCTTAAATACGAGGAGCCAAATCACAACAGCTAATGTAGTGCAGAGAATCAGCCCACTTACAACAGCAAGGATAATAGGATATTCCTTGTGGCAGTGCATACCGTGACACTTCTCTGAAAACAAGTTTCTCAAAATAATGAAGGAAACCCATCAGCAACCAACCATTCAAAAGAATTAAAAAATGGTATGTCACATGCACAACTGTACTTGGAGAAAAATGTGAAGTCCTGAAAAAGCTGAATCGGAAATATTAATCAAGAAAACAGCTTTATGTCCACAATATAGAAAGTCATCACATACCTATATCAACCATGCATATGGAAGAATGATTCTTATTGCATCTCTCAGCCACAAGAGATGTGGTTTCATTAGTAACCAGTGAACACAACTCAATTGAGTTGTAACGTAGAGGCTCTCTTATACTGATAGATTCATTCCAATGTGATGTATTGTCCGACCATTTCCAACTAAAACCAGTTGTTGAGTTAATGCCTCTCCCACCAACCCAGCATCCAATAGCAACTTCACTACACAGCTTTTGGACAAAGCTTAGATCCTGAGATAAGTTCAGTGTTGCCAAGTGTCCACGGTAACTATTGCAGTTGGTCTCTGACTCCTCCCATGACTTAGAGCTTTCTATATAACCAAAGCACTTTGTTTTACTTGGGCTGAGAACCCAACCAGAAGGGCATGGTGCTGCTGTTCAGAGAGAAAATGAAACATTTTAAGTTACTAAACCTATGTATAATTTACACAAACTATGAAGAAATCTGTCAGTTGAGAGAGACGAAACAAAAATTTAAACAAAAAGAACTATTCATATTTTTTTTTTTCACAAAAAATATTGCACATATGAGTTTGCATATAAATGTATTTATGCATCTAACAGGTGCAATACAGAAATCAATTTTTCTCAGAACTTTATTGGTTATGCGAGTTCAGCACACAGAAGGCTATTATGGACAAATCAAATTTTGCAAATCCTTTTGCTTATGGAATCCAATAAATTTGTGGTAAGAGAATTTAATATATTAAAGCATTTTCAGAATTTTAAACATAGCTATTAACATGCCATGTAAGCCAAGTAATGCTGAGAAGAAACAACAATATTTACAGGTGAAAAATACAATCATATCCCGTAACTAAAGGACTGAGCTAAATCAACAGAAATCATGTAAATTGATTCACCTGTTAACGACAGGATCTTATCTTTGATTTAAAGACAACATAAGTTTTTAGAATCAACGGGAAAACCAAAGATAAATTTAAGTTGACCAAAGAATAAGCTTGATTTGATCAGGGAACACCATGCTAAGTTCGATGGACAGAAGCGTCTTTAAAACCAACAACCAAAAATAAGCACCAGATAGTTGTTTATGTCTTAATTATGTGAGACTCAAACTTAGCCACAATAGGAAGTAACCTACTAGCCAAGTCTTTATTACAGAAAGACTTATCGTATGATATAGCAATCGAAAGAAGATAGAAAATCATCAAAAGATTTTCCACCCTATTCCAGACTAAGCACCAATTATCGCATTCCAGAGGTAATAAAAAGGGTAACATAATACCAGAATGGGGAAAACACATTGCCTAACCTAAAATCTTGCTTTTATTATGGAGTCCTATAAGCTTAAAATTTCTCTCCCGCTTGTTAGTTAAGACAACCATATAAGAGTAATTAGCATAGAAGGATAGTCTTTAAAGTCTGAAGTATCAGCTGAGACCATTAGCCATGGGTCCATAATAAGTATCAACTATTGATGGATGTTTACTTCCTAATTTTACACTTCCTCTTATGTGACTGATGGACCTCGTTAAGGGTCGGGCCACCCCTGCCAACTAAACTGACCAAAAACAAGCACCATCATTTGCAGAGGTGGCTCAAACTTATTTGAGGCCCAAGCAAAAAAACTAATTAGGACCTTTTATAATTTTTTACATTCTCATTTTATTATTTTAAAACTACAATTTGTTATTTAAAATTCATAACATCCCTAACCTTCACAAGTTCACAATCAAAATATTTTTGATAAAGACTTCATCCTGTCTTAACTGAGAGAATGAAAGAGTTGTGATACAAATGTAATGGTGAGCCCTTTTTGTATGCAATGGAGGTTGTTTTGCTTTCTTTCTAATTTGACTGAGAGTCCAAGTTAGCTAATGAAGTGGTATTCTTTTTTGATAATTTAAGAATTAACCTTTTTTTTATTATTATTTATAGAGATTTTTGCCTACTTTTTTTTGTTTTTTTTTTATTTTCGAGAATTATTTGACTATAACTTCTTTTTAATGTATATACACATTGTATAGTGAATATATAACAAGTGGGCCCTAGGCAAGCACCTAGTTGCCGACTCGCTTGAGCCACCACTGATCATTTGGGCACTCCAGATAAATCATTATATTAAATGCAGATTTTTGGCAAAAGCTGAAATAAACAGTTTGTTTATACAAAATATATGCTCTTAGTAGTCTAGGGAGCAGATATTGCCAAAAAAAAAAATTGAAATCACTGGAAAGGAATTCCTATTTTTGTTTTCTTTCCCAAGTAATTTAGAAGATAGATAAACAGAGTCCTTTGGTTATTAAGATCATCATCATTTCATGGGCATGGTAAAGAGACTTACAAGTAAGGTTCTTTGCATGATTTACCCACCCCAGTTCACACCCCTCACACTCACAATAATTCAAACTCACACCCTTTGGTGTCTCTCAAATACAAAAATAAAGGGGCTCTCAAATACAAACTAGTTGCAATAGCCTTAATCCTCATTGCCAGTGCCATTGGTGTCTCTCTATCCTAGGCTTCATTCACGTGCGACCAGATGCTTTATTTTGGGAACTTAATGAACCCATGCCTTGGCAAAAACCTGTGGTTGAATTTTCCCTTCATGGGCATGGTGCGATGCTTTCTCCTATTGGTGCAGGAGGACTTGGTTTCGTTGGATCTTCTTCAGCATCATATTATGTCACAGGTACTGTTGATCAAAATTTTGGAGTTAATGATATACTTGCTTACTCTGCATTTGATTAGTTAGTGTTAGTTAATCGTTGGTTTCCTCTACTTCTCTTGTTTCTCTCAATGTCCCACCTGCATAATTTTTATTTTCTTTGTTATTACACAATTTATGTTTTGCTCTGTTTGTTCTGTCAGGAGAATAGCAGATTGAATTTATCAAACTAAATTGTTTGAGTTAGTTCTCTCTCTTTTTTGGTGCAACTAGAAATTATCTTTGCTTTTATCCAAGTGTGAAAACATAGAACCCAAAAAAACAAAATCGTGCTTGTTTTTTGCACGAGTTATTAACACTAATATATTGGTGCACACCTTTACTTTGAAGCATTGAAAAATCCGAAAAATTAAATTTACTGGATTACCCTAGGTTTTTTCATAAATTGAATAGACTAATGTACGGTAGGAGGGCGACATCCAATAGAACATATAGGCCATGTTTGTTTGAGCGGACTGGATTAGCATTCCCATGACTAATAATCCTGGGATTACGAATCCGTTGGATTATGTATCCTATCTTAACTAAAAGTCAAGTTTAAAATAATTAGTCTGTACTTCAATTGTTTAACCAAATATCGAATTAATAATTTTATTGGACTATTAGTCCAATCCCAAGCTCATGTCTACCCAAACAAACATGACCCTATAGTTTTTATATTTGTTCAAAAACTATTTTAAAAGGAATTCAAAAAACAAGTTACAAGTGTTTCCCACAGGGTAAGAAAAGAAAAGAAAAGAAATGATTGTGATATCTCATCTAGATGAGAAAAAAAAAAAAAAAAGAAATGATTGAGTTTTCTCACAATCATATTTGGATCGGTGAGAAAGCAAAGCATGTGAGAGAGGTATATGAGTGAGTTATTTTTCATTCCTTCGTATTTTAAAAGGCAATCTTGGTTTGTTTCTCACCAAATCTCACCAACTTTTTTTTTGGGGTAGAAATGAAATGGGCTTAGTAAGAGAATCCTCTTTCTCACCAATTCTCATCCTTTCTCACCATTTCTTACTCAACTTATAAACCTAACATGATAAAAGAGTTCACTTTCTCATCATTTCTCATCAAATCATCAACCCATACATGAATTCTTTGTTTTTCAATGGACGCTAGGTTTTGGAAAAAAATTTAAAAACAAATTATTCAATTGCAATAGACTAAATTTCACGAACACAAAAATAGGTAAGAGAAATTGAGCTCATAAATCAAATATCAGTAAGAAACAACAATGGCGCACCTTCACTACGATTTTCTTTCCCAGAAGAAGCATCCAAATGCACATCAATCGAATTGTTGGAAACCTAAAACAATTATACACCAAATATAAGAGCAAAAAACGCGTAAAACCAATCCAACAGTTCAAATATTTACATTTAATCGACTCACAGAGTTAGAAGCTGCAAAGCGAAGCATGAGACAAGCAATCAGAAGCAGAGGGAAGAGGAAAGAGATCAGCTTCCCTTCCATCATCAAACAATTTTCATAAACCCTAAAAAAATTGTAAAAAAATGGTGATTGTCGGAACACAGTCCTTCGAATTTGACTTTTGAGAGAGAGAGAGAGAGAGAGAGAGAGAGAGAAATTGCTAATCAGCTGATCTGGAATTGAGAGATTTTGAGAGGCCTTGCATTTACATTCCTCAGGTTTTTGGGACTGTGGGACTTTGAGCTTTGAAGTCTTCCTGGATAGAGTAGGAGGAGGACTGGAGTTATTGCTCTCCCACCTTTTTATTTTATATTTATATTTTCCTTTTTTGCATTTTAATAGCTCCACCTTTTTCCTTTTTTCTTTTTTTTTTTGAAGGAAAAAATTCAAGAAAATAAAAAATTAAATTAATGGCAAAGATTGTGGAGTCTAAAATAATTTCACTGTGCATAAAACTTTACACCACATTGTTGCAATAGGAGGAGATTGAGAAGGAGGCTGTAGCGGTAAAGGGAGATTGCGACGGAAATTTGTGATAGAAAATAGCGGTTTAAGATGGAGATCATGATGGTTTAGACGTTTGGAAAGGACGATCACAACTCGCGAAGCAAGAACGGAAGTTGCAACAAGGTTTGGAAAGGTGATTGCAACGGAGAAGGAGTTAGGGGTTGGCTGCCAAAGGTGATAGTTCGGGATGGGATAAAGTTGAGATTTAAAAAGTTAAGAGAATAAAGATAAAGTATATTTGCTATTATGGTGAATATAAATAAATGAAATCAAAATTTTTAACGTTTGCGTGTGGTGTAATTAGAAAGTGAGTGGAACAAAGTAGTTTTGTTGTATAAATAATATCACCCAAAAAATAATTTAAAAAACATGGATATAAAAAATTTAGACTTATAAATATGTATTGTTAAACTTTCTTATATAGTTGATTATTTAATGTAAATTTTATTATAATTGTAAATATTCTTTTATTGAATTAGTTCTCTATTGCACAAGTATATATGGCTAGTAGGAGAAATTGACAAAACATATTTTTCTTAGTATATTGGTAATGAAATGGCGGAATATTGGAGGAAAGTCCTGTCCCGTACAAGCCCAAACTATAAAAATCCAATGTCAAACATTCTTTTAACATTTGGATTCAAGGCCAAGTCTCTTATAAAAATCACTAATAACCTTTTGTATAAGACAGATGATGTATATAAACTCTATACGGAACTAAAAATTACAAAGAATTGAACTATCCACTATGTATTTGTCGTTTGTATAACAAACATGATAATAATAATTATACAAATTGTACTGAACATTACAACAATTACAATGATTTTTGGAACCCAAATGCTTCTCATTTCAATTGCAGAAATCATTATGATTATTATAATATCACAACTTGAATAATTACTCTATCATGATTGTTAATTATATGAAAGACAAGCATATAGAGATAACTTTATTCTTTATGATTTTTGATTCCATAAAAGGGTTTGCACAGTTATTTGTCATATAAAAATTCATTGTCCTTTTTTTAATATCCAAATTTGAACATACCATTTCCCATTTTTATTTGCTGTCTTAATTAGCAAGAAATTATCTTTACTTGATTATTTCTTTTATTATAAACTAGCAGTGGGGCCGTTATGCACTATATAAGAGAATTAAATATATATATATATATATACTATCTATGTATATATAAAATTATTTAAATATATATATTTTTTGACAAGCCATGCAAAAAAAAATCTTAATCCTATTGCCAAACAAAAATATACCTTACATAAATATGTGTTAATTTATTTATTTTTTTTTTTTTGTAGAAATAAAATTAAAAATAGCAGTAGCCTCAATTTTTCTTGCTCTTCTACATAAAACCTATGTGACACCATATAATCTTATAATTTTAAAATATTATGTCACAAGAGTACTCAAAATTCACTCACTTTTTTCACTTATAGCATATATATCAAACACATCAACTTCAAAAGGGCTCACAACCTTTTTCCTTGTTTTTTTGGCAAATATAAAAACTTTGTTAATAATAAAACAAAGTATATCAAAGTTTCAGTACTTTTTTTGGGGGGCTAAAGAATTCTAAAATACAAAACTCAATGTAATACCCTCACAAATCCTACCAAATTACAAAATCCCATGAAAATGAAACAAATATCTTTTCTTCGCTGCCACTACCGCCGCCTCCACACTTGTTACCAAATGGTTGAAAGAATGCAGTCCAACATCCCATCTCTTTTGAAGAAAATGTAACATACTAAAACCCGGACTTGCTATTTGAAATAAATAAATTCCACCACATTTAAAGGCCTTCATTCACATCCAGAGAGAGATTCAAGTCTTGCAGAAATGGGCACTGGCCAATCTAGAAAGCCATTCGGCCAGCAAGCCGGCTTTCCAATATCCTTCTGTCGATAGCTGCATCAATTGAGCTCATCTGGAACGTTCAACCACAAAACAGAAAATTAAAACAAACCCGTTAAAAAATATATACATAAAAAATTCACGACAAAGAACCATATATTAAAGTATTACAAAGCTTTTGCTTCTATCCAATAGATACCAAACTTTGCAAAAGAAGCTGACCTGGGCCAACTTTGAATTCACTGTTCGATCATTATAATAATACTGGAATTGGAATGAAGATAACCCTCACACTTCAAAATCAAGCATAGCGAGAATATACAACAATGAATGAAGAAAAATTCTAAAGAGCAAATACATACACTGTTCTTAACGGAGTACAATGCTAGATCAGAGCATCCTCGAGTTGATCGCAGCAAGCTTGTCAGAAATATAATTACTAACTAAAAGCAAAGATAACGTAAATACCTAGTTGCATCTTTGATGGCCACAAAATTGGTACGATTGCTTACCGGGTAGGAAAAGATAAAGAAAGACCCGTCAAACATTGGAGTCGAAAGTCAAAAACAAATTTGACTGGAAGGCACATATATTCTTAGCGCAGTGTATTATTAAAATTGTTTTTAAAGTGAATAGAAGATGTAGTACCTTTAAAATCATGGAAAATGCGTAAATAACGAAATCTGAAAACGTGGAAGGTAACACCTACCCATATGGCTATCAGATGCGCAAAGCAACTCCATTCCCATTTGAAAGAAAAATAAGAGGTACTTATGACTTACCTGGCTAGTTTCATCATGCACCTGATACTTTAGCAGAGACATTCTTCTTTCCTCCTGCAAATACCAAGTTTCAAAATTCAGTAGGTCAGGTAAAAAAGATGCATCCGGGAGACAGAGAGAGAGAGAGAGAGAGATGGGAAAAACTAACCATCGACATTGCCTCATCATCCCAAACTAAATAGACCTCATTTGTGGCTGGCTGGGTAGCAGGAATTTTGTTTGCAATTACAGGAGGTGGTCCAATTGATGGGCCACCAGTATTTGGACCAGAAGCGTAAGAATGTGAATTGACTGATATCCCAGGTGTGTGGTAATTACTTGCCACAAACGAATTGTTGTTTGTGTCAATTGAGCTTTTGAGTTCTACAGGAGAGCTTAATGGAATACTTGCTGAAAGCATAGGTGGAGAAAATGGTGAACTTGAAGTAGGTATATTGTTATTGGCAACAACAGGAAACAATGGTTGAGATACAGGAATAGGGGGGGCCGGAGGCAGTCCTGGCGGAGCGATCGGCAAAGACATTTGAAATGCAGGCGATGTAGCAGGTGGCACGGAAGGCCTCATATTCTGCACAGGAAATAGAGGTGGTTGAATTGATCCCAATGGTGGGAACCAAGGTTGGGGACGAGGTGGAACCGGCCAACCAGGAGGACGCACCATTAAAGCAGGATTGTAACTGCACCAAAGCAATGAAGAAAAATCACGGTAAGAAAAGGTTCACTTATGTGCGTAAATTATTGAAATTCGACATCTAAAAAGAATGGCAGTCGCATATAGATGAGAAGACAAATTATTCTTTCTACTCTACGGAAAGAATTCAGAACAAACCAGTCAATTAAATCAGCAAAGTAGACAAATCCAGAATGCTTAGAATATTTGGCACCGAAACATATAATTTTTTGAAAAACCGATGTTCTACAGAGGGAATCAAGAAGAACTTAAAACAAAAATAGAAAACATACATTGGCTGCATTGTGCCTAAAGTTGACGGAGGAGGAAACCCAGCGCCTAATGATCCTGGTGGAACAGATGAAGGAATCTCAACTTTGGCCAATTTTGATGGGACATCATCTTCTGCCAAAAAAAGTAACAGTGATCATTATGTCACCAAATTGATATGGATGAATATCATAAGACCCATAACACATGTAAACATCTCCTCCCCACATTTCCTAAAGAGGTAAGCTTGCAATTCATATGAGTTAGGTAATGAGTCAATATTAGATTAAAAAGAAAGATGCAAGAAGTGAGAAGTACTATTATTGCATCACCAGTTTCTGTATATAATTACATAAAGAAAAAATACAAAGAAAATAGTGTGAACGAAGAATGCATATCAAAAAATAAGATAAAAGAACAAAAGGAAGACAAATGATGCTAAATCCATGGCTCAATACATCTCAAATGCAAAAAGACCACTTTTAAAGTCAAAACAAGTTTTGCCAGCAGAACAAAAAATTTTGGCTCTCTGATTAACATCAAAAGCCCAAGAGAAGCCAGTGTTACACAATCTTAGGTAGAACTCACTCCCAAAGGCTAGCTATTAAGGTGAGGGTGCCCTCACACTTATATGCTTAATATTACTTTAGTATTTAGGTGATGTGGGACTTCACTTCACACCCTCCCTCACGCCTAGCGTGCTCACTCGGCAGCACTTGCAACGTGCGGACCAGGGACATGCACCCTACCCATCTTTCAGTACTCCGGCTCTGATACTATGTTACACGATCTTGGGTAAAACTCACCCCAAAAGCTAACTATTAAGGTGAGAGTGTCCTCACGCTTATATGCTTAATATTACTTTAGTACTCAGGTAATGTGGGACTTCGCTTCACAGCCACATCTTCAAGTAGTCATCGAAGAATGGTGGAATAAATAATTCCTGTATATAATTTTTGAAGATGTAGATGCAGCATCTATTGGAGATGTGGCATCCCAAGATTTCACAGATCAAAGGGGTTCTTCATACACAACAAAATTACTAAATTCTTGCGGGACTTTATTCACACAATTTAAAGGAGTCCAAACAACCACAAGGAATTGATTTGGAAATCTTGTGTTTTGATCAACATTACATAGCATTTTCTATTTTGAGTGGTGCAACCTCAAAGTAGTACATATAGAATTTGGGCAGGTTTATAACTGTGTAGCCAAAAACCTAACAACCCCTCATCCAATTAAAAATTTATCATAAACACTACCCAGTGGTTTAAATTCCAAATAAGTTTCACTCACATTCTAAAATCCAAAATTACCCAAAAGTTGAATAAAAAAAATGGAAATTTTAAAATTCAAACTCACAGTAATACATACATATATATAGAAAAAAAAATCAAGAGTTGGTCAACCTTTTGTCACATCCAACATGATCCATAATAGCATATAAGTAAAGGTGATTGCCGTGAATTATTATAGTTTATATTATTCATTAAGGATAGTTTAGTCCTTTAAGTTGTTAGGGTTTGATTCTATTAGCTTATATATTTGTACTCATTTGATTCATCAATATACAAGTTTTCTTCTCTATTATCATGGTATCAGAGCAAGGTTCCAAACACTGGCATACCTTTCGCAGGTCATCATCGACCATCGCAGCCCCTTTCTCTCTCTTCACAAGCCCTTCGTTGGGGTTCTCTGTTCTCTTCGTCGCACTTCGAAGCTCAACCCCTCAACTCTTCCTGGTTGCTGGTTCTGGTCTCTAGGTTGCGTCAGAGACCTAGGTTGTGTGTCTCACACAACCGAGTGTTCTTCAACTTGTTTCAATCCCTCAACTGGTTCATCTGGTTCGATCAAAGCTCTCTACCTCTAGTTCGATCGATTCCTCTGTGTGACTCTGATTGGTGATCTCTCTGCCTCTCCCTCTAGTTCACACAATCAAAGTAAGGTCTAACCTTGATGCTTGACCTCGCTCCAAACACTGAAATAGACTTCGACTTTTGGTTTTAGGCTCAGTTTCTCTCTCTCTCTCTCTCTCTCTCTCTCTCTCTCTCTTCTTTGCCTTGGTTCTCTCTCTGATTGATATTTGAGGGTGATTGGGTCATAACTCTGGTTATTACAAGTTTGACCTAACTGGTTCTTTAATTATAGTAATAGCAACTATTATTATCGAATAGTCATTCTGCTTTGATTTTACTGTGTTGCTTAATTATAGCACTATGACTGATGATAAATTGCAAGCTATCACCACTAAGTTAGATGGTTTCAATTACTCTTACTGGTCTCATGTAACGAAAATATTTCTAATGGGTAAAGGCATGTGAAACTATGTTATTGGTGTGACTATTAGACCTACAAAATCCCAAGAAATTGAGGCCGATGTTGCTAAATGAGATAAAGAAAATACACAAATTCTTACTTGGTTTCATAATTCAATTCAAACTACCATTGGTATGAATTTTTCCAAGTATTCTACTTCTAAACAAGTTTGGGACTGTTTGAAAACTATGTACCTTGAGTCTAACTTTGCAAAACAATATGAACTTGAGATGTCTATTTGCAGTGCTAGTCAAAAAGATAAGTCCATTCAAGAGTTCTACAATGAGATGACTACTTATTGGGATCAGCTTGCTTTGATGGAACCATCAGATTTGCAGTTACTTGACAACTATACCAAGTATAGGGAGAAGCAACGTCTTGTTCAATTTCTTATGGCCCTTCATGATCAATTTGAGCCACTTCGGGGAGCTATTCTTCATCGTTCTCTCTTGCCTTCTGTGGATGGTGCTGTCCGTGAGCTTATTACAGAAGAAACTCATTTTAAAGTGGCCCATGGTGCTCCTGCTTCCCAGTTAGTTTTTGCCACTCCTCAGCTCTTGCCCACCCCACCTTCTCCTTTATTTCAGGTTACTAATAAGCCCAAGCCTCGGGTTTCCATGAATGAGTACAACTTCTGTCATTAGAAAGGCCATTGGAAACATGTTTGTCCTAAACTTTTGCAGCCCAAGGGTCGTTCATCTAGTCCACCATCCTCTAAGCCGACATCTTCGGGATCTCCCTCATCTGCCACCTTTTCTACACCAGTTCCTAAGAATGGTCCGTCTTCTAATATGCAGTCTATGTTTGAGCAGTTCAAGTCTTCATGGTAGCCAATCCAAATCTTTCGTCCCAAGCCTCCGCTGTGACTACTCAGTTAGGTTTGTCTGGCTCATCCTCTTCAGATAATATCCACACTTCGTGGATTTTTTATTCTGGTTGTTGACATCATATGACCCCTGTTGCATCTCTCCTCAGTAATTGTGTCTCTCCTTCATCTATCACTATTGCTACTGTTAATGATTCTTCTATGCGTATACACTCTATTTGTTCTATTTCCTCTTCCCATTTGTCTCTTTCTCTTGTATTTTATGTGCCTCACCTCTCACTTAGTCTTATTTCTATTAGTCAATTATCTGATTCCGATTTTGATGTTGTTTTCTCTTCTTCTCATTGTGTTGTGCAGGATCGAGTATCCAAGAGGCAAATTGGGATCAGGCACAGAATTGGAGAACTATATATCTTGGACAGCTTACATATTCCTCCAGAAGTGTCTTCTACTGCATTGTCTTCTTTTTGTTTAAACAGTAAGTCTTCTTTATTTTATATTTAGCATTCTAGGTTAGGTCATCTGTGAATGATCGCTTGAGGATGATAGTTCAGTCCGGACATTTAGGCAATTTTTCCATTAATGATATTTCTGAGTGTCGTGGTTGTAAACTAGCTAAAATGTCTGCTCTTCCTTTTAATAAAAGTAGTTCTATTTCATCTTCTCCTTTTCAATTGATTCATACTGATGTTTGGGATCCTCCCCCTATAGTTACCAAGGGTGGTTCGCAATATTATGTGTCTTTCGTGGATGATTACCATCGGTTTACCTGAGCTTATTTGATGACTCGAAAATCTGATTTTTACAAAATATATTCTAATTTTCACTCCATGATTCACACTCAGTTTTTCACCACCATTAAAGTTCTCCGCTCTGATTTAGGAGATGAGTATTACTTGTTTGAGTTTGAGGAGTTTTTAGCAACTCATGACACTATTCATCAATCTTCGTGTTCTGACACTCCTACCTAAAATGGACAAGCTGAGTGCAAACATCGCCATCTCCTTGATACAGCTCACTCTTTGTTGCTCTCGTCTTTTGTCCCTTCTGTTTTCTGGGGAGAAGCTGTGCTCACTATTGCATATCTTCTCAATCGAATGCCTACTCCTTTTCTCTCAGACTCATCTTTGTATGAGCGTCTTTTGGGTGTTATTCCCAATTATTCTCTTCTTCGTATTTTCAGTTCTGCATGCTTTGTGCTCTTTCCTAAACGGGAGCGCTCTAAGCTTAGTTCTCGTTGTGTCCAATGTGTCTTTTTAGAGTATGACATTAATCAGAAAGATTATCGGTGCTATGATCCTGCCACCAAAAAGCTATGTGTCTAGGCATGTCACTTTTTTAGAAAAACTATCCTACTACACTATACCTTCCACCCATGTCCGTATTACCAATGATGAATTGGTTCACGTTGACCCATTTCCTCCTGACGTTTCTCCCGATGAGTTTGTTTTTGATCTTGAGGTCTCTACTTTGCCTCTTACGAGCACTCCTAATATCTCGCCAAATACTTCCTCTCCAACTCCCGCTTCCCCTGCTCCTCTTCTTGTTTATCAGCGCCGCAAAGCATTTCCAAGCTCGCTTGTCTCTAGCTCTACTGTCCCTCTAGCTGTTTCTTTGGATCCCGCTCCTCTTGCACATCACTTTCCAAAGTGAGACCGTCATCCTCCGAACTAGTATGATTTTGGTAATACATGTTTTTCCCTTTCCTATCAGTCTTTTTTTTCTTGTCTTCATACTTATTTTGAGCCCAGGTCCTACAAAAAAGCTTGTCATGATCCCAATTGGATTGCTGCCATGAATGACGAGTTAACTGCTTTGGCTAACACTTAGACTTGGGATTTGGTTCCATTACCTGCTGACAAGAATGTTGTAGGCTGTAAATGGGTCTATAAGGTCAAAATCCTTTTTGATGGTTCTTTGGAAATGTACAAAGCTCGTTTGGTTGCCCAGAGCTTTTCTCAAGAGTATGGGATTGATTACAATAAAACTTTTGCTCCCGTTGCCAAGATAACTATTGTTCGCACTCTTATCTCTGTTGCTGCTGCCCATCACTGCCCTTTGTTTCAACTAGATGTCAAAAATGCTTTTCTGAATCGATATCTTGCTGAAGAAGTGTATATACGCCCTCCACCGAGTCACTCTCACCCTCCTAGTGTTGTTTGTCGTCTTCGCTGTGCTCTATATGGTCTCAAGTAGTCTCCTCGTGCTTGGTATGAGCGATTTCACTCTGCTGCACTTCAGCTTGGTTTTCGCCCTAGTCATCATGATTGTGCTCTTTGTTTGGTGTACTTCTGTTGGCCTTGTTCTCCTTGTCTTATATGTGGATGATATGATCATCAAGGGCTCTGATTATAGTACTATTAAAGAAGTTAAGCATCAGTTGTTTCAGGAGTTCGAGATGAAGAATTTGAGGTCTCTTCGGTATTTTCTTGGTATGAGGTTGCTATTTCTCCTACTGGGTATCTCTCTCTCAAACTAAATATGCCAGTGATATTCTTTCTTGTGCCATCTCATTGATGACAAAATTGTCGACACTCCTCTTGAGTTGCATGCTAAGTTTTCTGCTTCTGATGGCGTTTCTCTTGAAGATCCCACTTTGTATCGTGAGTTAGTTGGGTGCCTTGTTTATCTCACCATTACTCGTTCGAATATCTTCTATGTTGTGCGCATTCTCAGTCAGTTTGTTTTTGCTCCTCGTTCCACACACTAGGCTGCCTTACTCCATACTCTACGCTACCTTCGTGGCACTTTGTTGTAATGTTTGCTATTATTAGAATCTTAAGACTTGACTCTTCATGACTATGCTGACACTGATTGGGCAGATGACATCTCTGATCTCAAATCCACTTTTGATCTTTGTGTTTTCCTCGGCGATTCTCTCATATCTTGGAAGAATAAGAAACAGTCTGTTGTTGCTCATTCCACCGCTGAGGCTGAGTATCGTGCCATGGCTCATGTTCCTTCTGAGATCGTTTGGCTTTGATGGCTTTTTTTGATATGGGTGTCTCTCTTTCTGATTCGACTCCGTTGTATTGTGATAATCAGAGTGCTGTCCAAATTGTCTATAATTCAGTCTTTCATGAGCAGACCAAACATGTTGAAATAGATTGCCACTTTGTCAGACAGCATCTTCAAACTAGCACTATTACTCTTCCTTTTGGTCATTCCTCTCTTCAGTTGGCCGATTTTTTTACGAAGACTCGCACTGTTACTCGTTTTTGTTTTCGATTTCGTTTTCGTTTTCGTTTTCGTTTTTTTCTTAGCAAACTTCCGATGCTTTCTACGCTCGCATCCTCAGTTTGAGGGGGGGGGTTTGAATTATTGTAATTTATATTATTCATTAAGGATAATTTAGTCCTTTAGGTTGTTAGGATTTTATTCTATTAGCTTATATATTTGTACTCATTTGATTAATTAATATACAAGTTTTCTTCTCTGTTATCAATTGCAAAAAAATTTCCCAAGAAGAACTCATAAAACTAATCCAAAAACATGAAAAGAATGAATTAAGGAAGGATCCTTTTTATTTGAAGTGTCTATAGATATAAAACACAAGAAAAATAAAAGTTTATATTAGATACTCATCTAATTTCACTGACTAAACCATCACCAAGCTCATCATAATCAGGGTGAACAAAACCTGCTAAGATAGGGATGGTAGTCGGTTCGGTCAACTTGGCCACTGTTAACTGAAATTGACGTTTCAAGCCATCCACATGCCACACCGTAGATGAACTTGACTTGGCATTCCTAGAATATTCTTTAAGACCTAGATTTTAAAAGATCTTGGATTTATCAAACATATAAAATTTTATATCCCCTTGATTTTCAAATATCTAAATCTCTGCAGTATGAAGACAACCTCCAATAAGTTGATCCGATCAAAAACAAGCTTCTTGATTAGCTTTAAGTATATAGAAATATGAATACAATCACAAACACAATGCAAAAGGTAAAATGATACGATGACACTTGCACGACAATTATACCTTCCTCCCCATAATGTGCTGCCAAGACATCAGGTGGGATTCCTTGCATTCCATATATTTCAATGTCAGTAGATTCTCTACCAGGTTTTGCATTTGGCACCCTGTAAGAAAATTATCGCAAGTCAGTATAACACAAACATTGCAACAACAACACAAATGATCTATAGAAACTTTATTAGAAAAGCAATTACTTTTTCATACTATTTTTACCAGCTCTTAGTTGCACAATGCAGAAATGGAAACACATATGGGACCAAGGGCAGGGGAGTGGGGGCACATAGAAGAGATGACGACTGGGAGCACCTATGGGGCGTGTATGTACACATATATATATACCAAAAAAAAATTTGATGAATATAAATAAATGTTATGAAAAGGTATAGCGAACAAGGACAAAATACCACAGAAAATTTGACAAAGTGCTTTTAATTAAAGTGAGCCTACGTCTTTGACAAATATTGTCTCTTCCAAATGACCAAACATTTCTTTGAATCTTTTCACCACAGAATCCCAAACATGCCTCGTATTAAAGGATGACCACTAAAGTAAATACAAAAAGTTGACGGCAAATATTCCACTTTACAACGCAAAATAGAAGGTAAGGACCCTACTTTAGACATTTATTATCAACCAAACTCGCACAATTAATACCTGAACCTTGTCGTTTGTTTCTTTCAAATTATATCAAGATTTCACTGCTATAATCACTTATTTATTTTTTATGGGAAAGTAACCCATCACAAGATTATCTGTATATCATTCTACCACATGGCAAGCTAATAACGAAAATAACAAATCATTGCCTGTCTATTTCTCAAAAAGATTCTGTAAATGCTTTTTTTTTTAATTTTATTTTAAGGAAATGTATGCTAGAAAGTATCTTATAAGCAAAAATATATATGCGGGAAAACAGATAAATTCGTCCCACAACCAATTACAAAATATTTTTGCAAGATTCATGGTTAAATATCCATTCACATACACACAACTATAGAAATTTTCTGCCTAAGAAAAAAAACGAAGAAAAAACACCTAGGGTCTAACAAGACCATTCTTTAATCTTAACTGGAACAGCATAATAAGTTCCTCCCAAGCTTCATTTTTTTTTTTCTTTTTAATCTTTAATTAATCAATTTGCCATATTGAAGAAAAAAAAAAATCCTCAAATCAAACATGAACAAGCACAAAGATCATAAACATGGAATGGGGTTCCAAATTTCAATTAATTTGGTCACTTATGCACATCTATAAAACATATATATATATATAGAGAGAGAGAGAGAGAGAGAGAGAGAGTATTTGTACTTGGTGATGGACTCCTTGTGAACCTGGAGGACATGAATGACCATGCCACCAGCGGTGGAGAGCTTTTTGTGGCAGGCATGGCACTTGAAGTGCTTGGCTTTCTGGTGCTGAACCAATATCTTCTCATCATCGAACTCTCTGTCGCAGTAATAGCACCATACCTTCGATACCGCTCTCTTCTTCTTCTTCCCCATCTTTCAATTCTCAGTCTCCGCTCTTCTTCCTCTGCCGAATCACTCACCGATATCAATCTAGGGTTTGCTGCTTTACTTCTCTCTCTCTCTCTCTCTCTCGTGCGAGCTCGATTGAGACGTTAGGGTTTGCTTGTACTTCTCTCTCTCCCCTCTTCCAGGCAACAGCGTCTCGGCGTGTGGGATTTTCCTACTCCGAATATATAATTTAAGGCTTTATATCCCGGACCGGACCTTCCGATTCAACTGGTTTTGGATTCCGACGTCGTTTGTGTAGTGTACCCAAAATAACCCCTCAATCCGAATGACCACAAATTTTTTATTTTTGTATTGCATTCCAAATAACGAATCAACAACCTCCCCTCAAGTTCTCTCCTTGACTTTTTACTTGGTGAGTTATTTTAAAATTATTCATATTTTAAAATTTGTTAAATATATCATACTTATAAAAAATTATGTTGATCGAATATTAAAAATTATTGTGTTTGGAAAACTATTTATTAATTTTTTTTCAAAAATAGTTTTCAGTTTGATGATCGGAACATGTAGTTTTTGATATCCGATCAACTTGATTTTTTACTGGTATGATATACTCAATAAATCTTAAAATGTGAACGGTTTTGAATCATCGAAATTAGGCCTAAAAGTGGGCCAAATAGCCCAGCAAGTAAGAAGTCAATGAGAGAACTCAATGAGAGGATCTTGATTCCCAAATAACCCCCAAGTCCGAATAACCAACAAATAATGGCTCGTTTGGGAAGTAACTATTTTTTAAAAAATTTTGGCTATTTAATTATTTTAATAAGTTATTTTAGTTTGTATGTTTGAAAAGATAGGTTGAATTTTTTTGAATGATTGTATTGAGAAAAGTGTTTGAAATGATATTTTCATATGAAATAACCAAACTGCCCCTACGTGTAAGATGTCATGCTCCAACATTAAGAATTAATGTTCGTGTGTTGACGTGGTCTGGAAAGGAAATTGGACGCAGCTTTATTTTATTTTTTAAAAGTTTTGAATAGAATTTGGGCGCATCTTCTAACGGCGGAAATAAGAGCATCCATAATGGATGTGTTGAATTGTGTTATATGATAAAAAGTAATAAAAATATGACTAAAAAATGTATATTAAGAGTTTCTTAATTTAGTGAGTGAATGGTAATACAATAAATGTGTTAAGGTGTATGTTAAGAATATGAGAAATGTTTTATAGCTCGAAAAAATTTTCCCCGAATGGCCCGAATTTATGAAACGACGTTGTTTTGATTTTGATTTTTTTTTTTTCTTCTTTCCCTTCCACTTCTCGTTTCTCTCTCAAAGTTTGAACCATCTCTCGCTACTCACTCTCTCCTTAGAGTCGACTCCATTCGAGCCCTTAATCTCTTCCAAATCCTCTCATCTCTCTCTACTCACTCTCTCTTCAAGCCCTAAATATCTTCCAAATCCTCTCATCAGCTACGGGTGTGGTCTCTCTACTCATTCTCTCCTCGAGCCCTTAATCTCTTCCAAATCCTCTCATCAGCTACGGGTGTGGACTCGCATAACAGATCTTCAGCTACGGGTGTGGACTCGCATACGACGGTGTCGACTAGCAGAAAAAAATGTACCACAACAAAAGGTAAACCCATAATCGCAAAAAAATTAGGGTTTGTGTTTCTGTGCTTGGATTTTTCTTGCAATTTGTGTTAGGGTTTTGGTTTTGGCTTGAATTTGTAGAACATGTTTTCCGGCCTTATCAATTAATGATTGTTAGGGTTATGATTGTTTGTTAGGGTTTGGGTATTATGGGTTTTGTCTTCAATTTTTGATTGCTATGTTGATTTTGATTGGCCATTATGTTGATTATTTGGGCATTATGGGATATGTGTTGATTGAGTCAGACATGAGTTAATAGGATTAATGAGGTTTTGATGTCTCAATTTGAGGTTTGGGCATAGCAGTTAAGGTGTCATATTAGAGCTTGGAATTTTGGAAATCTAGAAAGTTCATGATTCATTTTATTTTTGATTTACTCACTTTAGTTTGGAATTTCAGTGTTTTCTATGAAAAGAAAATCTGAGGTATTTTAATCTCCTAAAAATTTTTTGTCATCAGGATTCAGTGTATAGAGTTTAAATTTATATGCTCTTAAGTATGCTAGATAAAACTAGATGCTGCAAACTGTTTAAGCAACCAACTTTTATAAGATGTTAATATCTACTACAAAAGATTAATTGTGTAGTTTCTTTTTATTTTTATGCATTTTTTTAATTTATTGACATGTGTTACAATATCTGCGTATGTATGTAGGAATGAACATAAGGAAATAACTAGTGCCAAAGCTAGTCTGGATTTTGAACTCAAATTGTTGGAATACTTCAAGAAATTCATTGAAATCTTTTTATCCACAAATGAAAATTTTGTTATTTTTGAGCCGCAAAAAGAAAATTTGTTCATTTTACAATATACTTTGGAAATGATTGGAGTCTTCAAGTGCTTAAAAATATAGATTCCTTTCTTAAAATTCCTGGCTTTTCTTAATGTGATGGAAGTTTATTGAGCCAAGGGGAATTAAATCAGTTCCCTCAGGTTTCAAATTTTAGCCATAAAAGTGAATGAATGGGCCTGTGAATAGTCATACAGGTACTTTTAAATTATACCTTCTTTGATCATGTATTTACCATAGGAAAACAGTGACCTATTAACAGAAGAATGTATGTGGTTTCTTGGAACCTACCTAGGAAAGAACACAAGATATCTTCTTGTTTACTTTTGCTTATGAAGCTGGCTGCATATTTACCAATTAAAAAAGTACAGGGTTTTAATAACATTAATAAAACAGTAGGTATGTATGTATCAACAGTAGCAGTAATAACTATGTATGTATCATGTCCCTGTTTTCCATTTTGTATGTAGATTACAAAATGGCTTGTTCCTCTAGTAACAATAGCAACATAAGATTGAAACCAAGATTGTGTGATTGTGGGAGAACAGCTGATATGCACATTGTTCGAACCAATTAGAAATGGAAATAAAGGGCGTGTGTACTTTGTGTGTCCATCGAAATATGTAAGCAGTATGAAAATTTGTTTGCAAATTTGTTTGCAAATTTATTAGCCTGATTTGATTAACTGATTGTCATGCATTGTAGATTAGTGAGGAACACTGTAATTACTTCAAGTTCGCAGATGATAATGACGACGACGTGATCTCCAATGCTGCACCTCGTAAATCTATAAGAAGCGAAGAATTTAACGATCTAAGCACAAGGGGTTTATGAGATGGATAATGAATTTCAGAAGCATGGTAGAAGGCTTCGAAGGATGGAGAAGAAATTGAATGTGATGCTTTATGTCATTGTATTTTGTATTGTTTTCTATTTTATAATGTAAATTACTGAGTTGATAGCTTTTGGGGAATTTGATGGATGTACTTATGAATTGAATGGACTTGATGAATGTACTTTATGGATTGAATGGACTTGAATGGACTTCATGACTTGAATGGACTTCTATTTTCAATTATTGTTGATAGGTTGTGTCATTTGTTGATCTTTAGTGTTGGAAATACTTTTTCAATATAAACCTGTAATGGCCTTTCTAGTCTAATGTTAGAGCTGCATTCTCACATGGGAATTTACACGAGTTCTATATAAACCATTTAAGTGTCCTCATCTTTAAGGCATTTTGTCCTCAAACTCTTTGAGAGGTAGATTTTGTCCTTATCTTTAAGGCATTCCTAAAATGCCTTGTGAGGACAGTATGTTACACAGTCCCATTATAAGTGCAATGCAAGATTCATATGTCAATAGTTTGAAAGCTGGTCCATTTGTATATTGAGGTCAGCTGAGTCTAAAGAGAATTTTGCGATGGATATGCCTCATTATTATTGTTTCTCTAATTTTCTAGTGCAGCCCAGTGTTTCCCCCATCTCCTTTAATAATCTTACATATTTTTATTTCTTTTGTTTCTCTTACTCATTTTCATTTCCCACCAAATGGAAGAAAGGATGCAAAGGGAGATATATTGGATGACAGATTAATTGAACAACAAAGGAAGACAGGAGGAGTACAGAAGTGTTGGATGCATTGACTATGTATTGCATGAGTTGAGTGAAACCAATGAATTTAATGATACTGTGCCAAAACACTTCATGCTAAGTTATCATCAAGAGAAAGAAACAATACCAAGCTCAACATGTTTAAAAGGGCCCTCACTTGCAAAAACTATATGTTCTCTAGCATGCTTGAAAGCATCAACAACAGTGCATTCAGTTGCACCAAAGTATATGCAAATACTATGTCCAATAGAGAAATTGGGAGTTCTATAAGTAAAATATGGTTAATTTAGAGGTCTTGTAAAGACAAACCATTCAATGTTAGATTTGACATAGCAAAAATGGTAGGTTTAGTATAATCCAACTCTCGCATGGCCTTAAGCACCTGATTTACATGAAGGCAATATAAACTTGTCAAATATGAAAATGTAAGAAGACACACATCTAATGAGCTCAAAAGTTGACTTTCAAGTATCCATTACACAGAGAAAATGGGACAATAGTTGTGCCTCTTTGTTTGGATTTGACATGCATTCAATCTGCTTCCTGTGGCTCTTTTCCCCAATCCATATCAAAATTAAATATTAAAAATTAAAAAATAAATCTCTAGTGTCAATCATGTGATTACAATTATGTGATTACAAACATAAAGTTGCTGCTTAATAGAGCTTCATTTTGGTTTAGCACATTACAGAGACAAAGATTCTGGCCAATAGCTTCATTTTGCTGCTTAATAAACCTGTTAAAGTCCGTGAACACAGAACATGAACTGCTGCTTCATAATATACAGAACCTGCTTCATAATGTACAGAATTCTGCTGAACTTGCTGCTTCATTCTGCTGCTTCATTCTGGACTGCTCTGGTCGTAATAAGAAGAGGTGCTCTGTTGGAACAGAACTTGACAGAATCATCATTTACAGAACCTGTTCAAAATATGCAGAACCTATTCAAAATATATAGAACTTGACAGAACCTGTTCAGAATCTGTTCAGAATCAAATATACCCTGTTCAGAATCAAATATAACCTGTTCAGAATAAAAAAATACCATAGGTTTACAAACATAAGTTCACAAACCTGTTCAAAACATAAGTTTACAAACCAATGTCATAAATGCCATAGAACAAAACTAAAAAAAAAATGGGGCAATCGGATCCGCGTCTATATTGAAGTCCACAAAAGTAATTATCCCAAGTTTACAAACGAAAAGTGATAAACACCATAGTACGAAACTAAAAAAAAAGTGGAGCGTTTGGATCCACATCTGTATTCAAGTCCACAAAAGTTGAACCATCCATATTCGTCATTCCTGATTCACTCAAAGATGAGTTTCCAATTTTGTCCACCATTTGCAATGCACACTCTTGTGTCCCATCCAAACAAGGAAAATAGTAGGATTGAGATTGCGGCACCTTATGATACATAATAACAAAATATCATTAATAAGTTCAGACATTGAAATAAATACCATACAAAAAATAGTAGTGGACCATGAACACATACTCGATTGTACGTATTGTCTTCCATGTCGTCCGTATAACCGAAATTCAACTTACGAGATTCACATTGACCCATCTTACGACCCTATCGTAACACACATTGGTGAAAAAGTTTGACAAAAATAAATTCTGAAATTTACATACAAGTAGAAAATAACAAATATACTTGGACTTTTGCTGCCTTTTTATTCTTTCCCTTCAACCGATTCACTATTTCGTCCACCTTGCTCGCCTTCCGTTTCGTACATGGACGGCTTCCTCGGCGAGCAACCAAAGGACTAAGCATCTTGCGAGTAGTACTAAAAGGTGGCACATTACTACTAGAAGGTGGAACAGTACTACTAGAAGGTAACACATTACTCGCACAACCAAATTCATCTTTTCTTACTCTTTCCTTTATTTCTCTCAACCCAAGTTGAATGGATTTGTGTTTACCATCATCATTGGAAGCAATTTCTATAATTTCATCCAATGTCTTGTGGTAGTTATCATATACCTTTGCATTGAGGGCAGCCCCGGATTTCATGTATGTCGTTGGAATACATGTGTACCCTCTTTCCAAATCTTTTCTCCATTTCAGCATACTGTACTTATCTGGAACCTCATATATGCACCTCTCAATGAGCACACTAAAGGAATGGGCACACATGATCCCCCTAAACTCAAATCACCGACACAAACATTGCATTTCAAATTCAGTTGAATTAAAGTAAACAAGAAATTCAACTTTCTTCATTTTCTTACCCACAAGCACAGCTTTCTTGACATGATAAGTACAAATGGATCCCTCCTCTTTCACAAGAGTCACATGACAATACAGTAGTCGCTTCAATTCTACTTGAACTTCTTTAAATTTCGCATTTGTGTAGGCTGCACAAAATTGCTTCTCAAACTCAAACACCGTTAAGCAATCATACAATCTGTTTCGAAATTTGAAGTCTACTTTGGTCTCCTTCTCCACCTTACTTCTCAATGCATTGTCGTACTGTTCAACAAATTGCTTTAAAGTAGTCTTTGAGTTTACGTAAAATGCATTCATGCTCTCACTTCGTTGTGTAGTTGACATGCCAGCCCAAAATATATCTTTCACATAGGCAGGAATCCACCTATGTCGCTCACCATATAATACTCCCAACCAATCGTTGTCATGGAGGCTAAACTTTCCAATCATCGTTTTCCATTCCTCATCAAATTCATCTTTTCTGATAGAATCATAGACTGCATTTTGTAAAGCGTATTTGATGGCTTCATATTGGGAATACCCTATCAATTTTTCGGGAATTTTCTTCATTATATGCCATAAACACCAACGATGTCGAGCCTGTGGGAAGACAATTTCTATGGCATTTTGCATAGCTCTGCACTGGTCAGTTATAATAGCTTTTAAAAGAATGGCTGACATGCAATTTAACCATTCTTTGAATAGCCAAACAAATGTCTCCGTGTTTTCATTACATAATAGCCCACAACCAAACAAGATTGACTGTCCATGGTGATTAACTCCTACAAACGGAGCAAACGGCATATCATACTTATTTGTGAGATAAGTGGTGTCAAATGAGACAACATCCCCAAATGCTTTATAAGCCACCCTACTCTTTGCATCCGCCTAAAATAAGTTTCGTATGCGACCATCTACATCAAAGTCAATTGCAGAATAAAAGTTTGAATTTTCTTGTTACATCCTATGAAAATAAAATGCAACTGATTCGGTGTCTCCTATCCCAAGGCTCAATCTTCTAGCATTTTCAGTGTGGTTCCTTGCATCTCGTTCATCAAATGTTAATGCCTCATATCCCCCCACTTCAACAACTATAGAATGAAAATTCCTAGACACCCCTATTCTTGCTTCATCGTTAATTTCTAATCTTCTCTTCACAGGAGTACGAATCCTCTTTTTCATTGGAAAATGTCGTGAGTCGCTATGAATTAAATCATGCGTATGCTCAAGCACAACTGTAATTAACTTATATATTCCATCCGGTTGTAAAGTCGCTCTTACTTTTACTTTATAATCAATTTTTGATGACAAAGATGGTTTCAGAGGGTTTACTTCTGATCTTTTTGTCCTCTTCTATGCCCGAATACATTCAATTCCAAAGTATTTTACATTTCCATTCGCTCAAACATTCTGTGTTCTGTAAGCTATAGCAAATTCAAGATTTTTAGCATATTTTGCATAAAACTCGTGCACTTCTTGCTTTGAGATAAAACACATCCCCTTCTTAGGTTCTTCAATTTCACTACTCTCATTTAATGAAGGATTGTTCTCTGCTTCCTCAACTTCCTGACCCCCACTCAATGTAGAATTGTTTGAATCAATGTCCATTGTGTGAAACACTCTACTATAATTTGTATAAAATCAGCAGAATGAAATGCACAACAAATCATAAATAAGGTTAGAGACATCACAGATTCAGATTCAGTGATGTTAAACACCACTTAGATTCAGATTCAGACATTACAGATTCACATAAATAAGGTTAAAGTGGATGTTAAACACCACTTAGAGACATCACAGATTCAGTGAGTACATCACAAATATAACCACTACAGATTTAGACAAATCATAGATTCAGCTATAGAATAACAGGACAACTGCAACTTTGTCTACATCACACATGCCAAACCAGATTCATCTATAGACAGATTTAAATCACAGTTTGTATACACACAGATTCAACTATGGACACATCCCAAAACACACATACACATCACACATAGAAGAAGAATTATATAGCTATACATCACACACATAGCAATTTTAGTTTGAGTATTGCAAAGTGTTATGCATAGAAGTCTAGAAAAAATGCAACTAACTGATGAAAAAATTGGAAATTCCATTCAAGATGAGTGAGCCAAGCTATACAACAAATATGGTCTGCATTCCTTAATATGGTCTTCTAATCCCCTGTCAAAACATAGAAAACCAACAAGAACAAACATAGACCCCAAACATATTTTTTAATTGAAATCATCTACCCACGTAGACCCAAACATGGATAACCATTCTTCTAATCCCCCACATTTAAGCTTAACAAAAAAATATAAATTTATAAGAAGAAAAAAAACAAAAAAACGCACCAGCAGATTCAGGTGATTAAGCGACATTCCAACAGATTCAGGCGTGTACAATGCGTAATCCAAATTGACGTCGAAGTGGTATTTCGCTGGTCGACAAACAGCATTGACGGTGGGCAGAGTTTTTTGCTGGTCGTCGATGGTCACCCACGTCGGTAGTGTCAGCACCGGTCGATCTCAGTGGTGGTCGCTCTCGCTTATTCTTCTTCAACTGGTTCTTCTCTCTCTCCTCTCCTCTCCTCTACTCTTCTTCCTTCTATTTCTCGCGTGTGTGTCAAATGACCAATGTTGCAACTAAGCCAAACATAAAATCACCTTTTTCAAATTCGGGCGATTCGGGGGGCTCATTTTCGAGCTACATAGCAGTTCTGTAAGAATATATATATAAATAATAAATAAAATATAAAATAATTAAAAAGTGCAATGGGCCCCCACCCCGCCGTATTGTCAGTGCCTCTCTCTCTTTTTCTTTCTCTCTCTCTCTCTCTTTGCTTGTTAATTAGACAGCCGGCCATAAAATAATTCGGCTGGCCAAAAAAAAAAGTCAATTGGCCAAATACATTCAGAGGCTAACAGCAACGGTCCGGACGTCCAGCCGGATGATCCCATTGCACTGCCCAGTGTCCTTATCTCTTTCTCTTCCTTCCTCTTTCTCTTTTTTCTCTCTCTCTCGCTGGTTAGAAAGCTCGCTGCAGTTAACAAACAAATTAACAACTAATACCAATGGTTAACGCTGACACACCCCTGAGCAACTTCATTGCATCACAAAACAGTATTTTAAACTGGCCAAAAATTAGCAACTGACACTAACACACCTTTAGCAACTCCATTGTGGATGTTCTAAGGTAATTTGGCAAAAAATTCAAAGGACCCAATTTGTGAAATATACGTAAATTTTAACACTTAAAAAAAAGAATTCTAGATTTTAAAACTTGTAAACAATTATTAATTGTTGTATCAACAAACCTTCTGACATTATTTTAAACCTTACCTCTTATATAAATTATAAATTTTTAAAATTCAACAATTATTATTAATCATCTGTTAGTACACTAAAATATACCAATTATTGCATATACCATTATTTATTTGTGTGTGGGTAATTTTCTGACCACACTGCCCGCTTAGTAGCCAGCTGGAGAGCACCGGCAGAACCAGCTGGAGAGCATCGGCAGAATAAATAGCACCTAGCTGACCTGCAACAGAAAGAGAAGATTCCGGCGGTGGTTCGTCCACCCGGGGGCACTCCGACGATCAAGTCAGTATATCTCTCAAAGATAAATCAAGTGCTAAACTCACAAGTTTGAGTATCAAAAGCATGAAATTGCGTACCTTAGACCCACGGGGTGCCTCTTTTTTATAGTTACCTCAATCCTAATCTCAATAGAAGCCTGACTTCTATGGATTCCTGTTTAATACTTACTTTGGACTCCTTTAGAGATAGAGATAAACTCCCTAAGAGCTTTATCCTTATCTTGGCTAAGTCTTCTCTTTATTCTAGGACTCTTGTCCTTTATCTCTTATCCGCTTATCTCGGATTCCGATATCTTCAGAGATAACCTCAGCTTGACCGAGATCACCTCGGCGTTATGATCCTGACACGTGACACCTCGGCTGACACGTCGGTGTCACCTTGCCACGTGTCGGTACTCAAAAATATATCCCCACAACTGCCCCTAGGTTCTATTACCTCGGCATTGGCATTCTGAGGTGATGGAACCTATATCATTCCGTTTTTCCAATACGTCGGTTTTCAGTATCTCAGCTGAGATCATTATTTTGGCCGACATGTCTTTGAAGAATAAGAACTTCAAGAACCCTTTCACGCGTATGAGCTGTCATACACCATAATTCAACTGTTTTTAACCACGCGTTTCCTTCTTATTGGTTCGTACCTGTGACGCGCCTGTAAGCCGTTGTAGACGTCCCCGAACGCCACGGAAGGGTGAGCTCCCGTTCTGTTCATTTGGGGTCGCTACAGCTCAGGACTCTAAAATTGTCACGGTTCTTAATCTGAACCAAAGAGTCCAAATCTGGCAAATCGTTTTGAGAAAACAGATTTCTAGAAAAGAAGTGCCAAACATGGACTGCTTTGCCAGATACAGAGTCGCCACCTAAATATTTTATTTTGGAAAATTTAGGAAACCCTGACTCGTTGCCTAAGGCCACGTGTCCGTCATCACCAAAGTTGCCTGGTGGGCTTAGAAAAGATGGTTTTGCCACTATCTAGTGGGCTTAAAACTCACAGTTGATGATTTGTTTCAATTCAAGTAACCCAACCTTCACCCACAGGCATTCAGGCAGATATATCACATAAGCATATAGCCTCATGGTAAGCATGCTAGTCATGGCAGTCACTCACACGCATGCAAGGATGCTAAAGCATAAAACTTACCGAATACTCTATGCCAAAAAAGAAGCTAATTAGAAATCCATGCATGATCCTAATTATACAGAAATGCCTAATGCAACACATGCAAAAATGCAACTATAGTAGGCTCGGCTATTCTAAACATGGCATATGAGATGCAACAGCTAACAAGTATTCAACTTTGAAATTGAAATACAATGCAGTTAGTATGATGTGCCGAGCCCGGTGCATGCAAAACAGATGAATGATGCAAACATGCTGTCATACTGTATGCTAATTAAAACATGCCCTAATTTAACCATCATAAGCGGGTAAATAAAAGGGAGAAAGACGTGGGGTTGGAAGACATACAACACACACACACACACACACACTTATTACAGTTGTGCCCTCGTGCAGAGGGTCCGAATGAATAATACAGTCCAAATAATACAGATTCCTAATTAATTTACAAATTAACTAAGAAAAGTAATAAACTGGCATGCAAGTCAGGGACTGCCTTGACTCTTCTTCAGATGATGGATGATGCATGTCTAGACTGCCTTGCGCAGAAATCCACGGCGATGCCCCGATTAGCCTCTGTTTGCAATTTATTCTTGGAAAGTGTGCCAAGCCCCGGAAGACTGCTGATTCTTGATTTGCTACAACAGAGAGCAGGAGAGGGGCATAGCAATGTATTTTCATAGATGTATGCATGCCTCGATCCTCGTGCCACCAATCACGCATATCGATGCATGATGGCCGATGAGTCGATTTGCATTACTCAATATAGAATGAATGCACATGAAAACTCAACTAAAACCTAACTTCATCATGGATAATCCGGAGTGTCGGTGACTGGGAATTGAGACACGTTCCGTCACTCGAAGTACGAAACGTCCTTCGTTTCCCGTGCTCGGGCTAACTCCTACCCCAAACACGATGCAATATGCATGATATGCATGAAATACAACTAATATACAATCTAGCATGCACAATGCTATGAAATGGCATACATGATGCACGAGATAACATGGCATACACAATGCGCTAACATACAACCTAGCATATGCAATGCTATGAAATGAAATGGCATACACAATGCACAATGGACTTACACCAACACAAGTGGACCTCAGCCACACCCACATAAGTAGCCATGGGATGAAAATGAGACAACTCGAGATGCGTGCACACGTGCACGCAAACTGAGGACCGAACCTAAGGCACGAATGCCACTCTACCAAAGCATGGCAAGGCATGGAACATGGCATACAAGCATGCAAATTTCAGCACTAAAATATGCCCCAAAACAGTCCCGAATCATGGAAACATGGCTCCCGATGCATGAAATGAAACCGAAATACAAAACTAGGCCTATGCGTTGGCCTATAGCTATACAAAACATGCGCTATTTGAACATGGAATGTAAATACAGAGTCAAGAAAGCCCAAAAACAAGCATGTTTACAGTTTTCAGAAGGGCCAAACAAAGAACACAAATGAGGCTAAACTAGCATGCAAAAATGGCCCTAAATGTGAGATAAAGAAGCAAGTCACAGCTTCAGACCTCAAACACAAGAGGGCCCTTCAACAAAGTTGAAGAGGAGCCCGAAATATTTCATTTTACAGTTGGTGGCCAGACCCAAAACAGTATATATGCAAGCCAAAAATACTATGCAAAATATGGCCAAAAAAAAGAGATATAACACAAAGTATAAAAAGAATACCTCAAACAGTGAAAGACCCTTAATGAAATATTAAAAGGGGATCAAAATAAAGTCACTTACAGTTCGGACCTCAGCCCAAAAACAGAAGCACAATAGGCTAACAAATCATGCAAAAATGAGGCCAAAAGAGAGATATAAAGACAAGTGGAATATATAAGCCTCAAACAAT